GATGGGCTCCCCACAAGATGTAATAAGTCTATTCAGCTCCTCTTTCCTAAGGCAACAGAAGAAAAGAGGAAAGTGCTTATGGAAAGCAGAAAGAATTGCTGTGGTATGGACTATATGGAAGGAAAGAAACCAAAGAATCTTCTTTGAAAAAAGAAATCCAAAGGAGGAAGTCATTGAAGCCATAAAAATCAGAACTGCAAATTGGGTGATGACAATGGAACTATTCAAAAACCTCTCCACGAATAACATTCTAAGGAACTGGACTGAAGTGGCACAAACAGATGTACCCAAAGAAATTGTGAGAGTGGAGTGGAAGCCACCTGCACTAAATAAACAAAAACTAAACTCTGATGGGAGCTTCTTTGGCAACCCGGGAAGGGCAGGTATAGGGGGTGTGCTTAGAAATCATCAAGGAGAGGTTGTGGCACTTTTCTCAGGACCAATAGGTATTGGTGACTCAATCAGGCTGAATCTCTGGCTCTCCTACAAGGATTAAAGCTGGCTGAGCAGATTGGAGCAACAGATTTAGAAATTGGAGACTCACTACTGGTCATTTCTTGGGCTAAACAAATCACATCAGCACCTTGGAAGCTCAAATTTGTCTATAGGGAAATTGACATACTTGCAAGGAGGTTCAACTCTCATTTTGGTTGGGTAAAAAGGACAGCAAATGGTTTGGCGGATACCCTAGCAAAACAGGGGGCAAATAGATCTACCTTGTTCTGGGCAGAACTGTAACTGTTTGTATGTGTTTGTAGCTTAGGTCATTGCAATGCTGAAACCAAACTCATGTAATTCAATATATTTCTGATCTTAATAAAAGTCTTATTTGCTGATAAAAAAAAATGTAAGGGTAATTCATTGGCTGAAAACCTTGGATCTGTTTGCAGAAATTTCAGTAGATGATCTGATTAGGAATTGGAAGGAAATTGCAGATTCAGCCTCAGACAGGAAGGTTTCAAGCTCTTACTGGACCCCTCCCCCCCACCTCTTGGCTTTACCAAACTGAATTTTGATGGCAGCAGAATGGGCAATCCAAGGCCTCCTGAAATAGGGGGAGTCATGAGGGAGGAAAAAGGGAATGTGGTAGCCATGTTTTCTGGCCCAATTGGAATAGAAGACTCATTGAGGGCTGAGAAGGGGTTCAAAGGGATAAGGATTTGCACATAAACAAGCTGATCGTAGGAGACTCTGATACTGTAGTGAACTGGTTAAATGAAGACAACTCAAGACTATGGAGCTACAGGAATGAAAAGGGGAAATACAAATGGTTGAGCAAGGACATGGAAGTTCGATGCGCACAAATAAAGTTAAGTGCAAATTCTTTTGCAGATGGCTTAGCTAGACAAGGGGTGAGTAGGAGTTCTGTTTTTTGGGCTTAGTTGTAATTGCTTTTGTATTTTGGGTGTTTTAGTGGCAGTTGTGGGGAGTTAAGATATTTTAGCTCCCCTTCTATGTATTTTCACTCCTCAATAATTTAATGAAATCTCTGTTATTGATCCAAAAAAAATGATTATTGTATTTTGTTTCAAATTTGTTGGTGTTGAAACCTGTTGAAGGATTTGAAAAGTAGAGGTAATATGGTTTGGTAGGTCTGCAACTTGGCTTTTTTTGGACTGGTAGTAATGTGTTTAATATCCATGTATTTACTTTTGATGGTGTTCTAACTTCAATAAAGAGAAATAAAGTGAAAGAAAAAAGAGAAAAAGAAGTAAAGGAAGAAGGTAGGGAGAGATAGAGAAGAGAAAGAGAAGAAAAGAGGGAAGATAAGCAAGGAGAAATCGAACTCAACTCTCCTTACTGTCGATCCATCTTGTATTAACATTTTACTGATTGCTAAAATAACAACAATGCCCCTAGATAAGTTACAATAGATATAAGAGGGGAAAATAACAAGAAAAAGACAAGAATGCCCCTGTCAACTAATTCTAACAGTTCTAATATGCCCCCTCAAGCTGGAGCATATATATCACAAAGTTCTGGCTTGTTACAAATATAATCCATCCTTGAGCGACCCAAACTTTAGTAAAAATATCAGCTACTTGGTTTTCATATTTAACATAGGGAGTAACAACATCTCTACTTGTTACTTTCTCTCTCACAAAATGGCAATCAACTTCAATGTGTTTAGTCTTTTCATGAAACACTAGATTAGAGACAATATGTTTTGCTGCTTGGTTGTCACAACTAATCTCCGGTTGCTAAGATCACCTCTGTCTGTGTTGTTATCTCTGAGCTACAACTAATCATTGGCCCTTATATCAGTTAGATGTTAAGAATGCTTTCCTACATGGTGACTTTATGGAAGAAGCATACATGGAGCAAACACCTAGGTTTGTTGCTCAAGGGGAGTATTGGGATTTGGTTTGTAGGTTAAAGAAGGCATTGCATGGTCTAAAAAAGTCTCTACGTGCTTAGTTTGCCAAGTTAAGTGAAGTGGTTGTAGAATTTGGCTTACATAGATGTTAATCTAGCTATTATATGTTTAGTATCTAATGGTGGTATCATTATCCTTGTTGTTTATGTAGATGACATTGTTATCACAGGGAGTTATTCATAAAGCATAAGTGAATTGAAGCACTATCTACAAGAGAGGTTTCACGCTAAAGAACTTGGCAAACTGAGATATTTCCTTGGCATAGAAGTTATGAGGTCAGCCACAACGTAAGTATACGTTTGACCTACTTGATGATGAGGGTATGATGGGATGTAAACTGATTGCTACACCTATGGACCCTAATGCTAAACTTGTTTTAGGTTAGGGGGAGTTAGTAGATGATCCCAAACAATGTAAGAGACTTGTAGAGAAGCTGAATTACTTGATTATTACTCATCCACATATCTATTTTGCAATGGGGGTTGTAAGTTTATGAGCTAAGTCAATTTATAAGTTCTCCATGTGTTCCACACCTTAAATCCGTGTACAAAATCATAAGGAATCTTAAGGGATCACCAGGTATGGGAATTATTTATAGAGATTATGGCCATTTGACTGTGTTTGGATTTACAGGTGCTGATTGGGCTGGACCACCAACAGATAGGAGGTCAACAATAAGATATGTATGTTTTTAGGTAGCAATCTTATTTCCTAGAAGAGGAAGAAACAGAATGTTGTGGCTAAATCTAGTGCAAAAGCTGAGTATAGAGTCATGAGTCATGTAATTGGAGAATTAGTGTGGCTTAAGAGTCTTTTCAAAAATTCGGATTCCAGTGAAGACTCCTATGCACTTACACTGTGATAATCAAGTTGCCATTCAAATTGCATCAAATCTAGTTTTCCATGAGAGGACAAAGCATATTGAGGTAGACTACCACTTTGTTAGAGAGAAGATTCAAAGTGGTGATATTAACACACCATTTGTGAAGATAGGAAATCATTAGCTGATTTATGGACCAAGGTCCTACGTCATCCTTGTATTGACTTTATCACTAACAAGCTGTGCCTGTATGATATATATGCATCAGCTTGAGGGGAGTGTTGAAAGAGCATTACTTTGGGTGTACATGGGTGGTAGGGTAGTTAAGTAATTTTGTCTTAGAATAAGGATATTCCAATCCATTGTTTTTATAATTAAGGGCATACTTGTAATTCTATACTTTATCTAGATTTAATATATGGCTGGGCCAACTGCTAAGAGGAGATTAAGACATTCTAATCTCTCTTAAAGACAGTTCGGTGGTTTTTCCTCTTCTCTCTTTTCTTCTCTCCCTCTTTCTTTCCTTATTTTTTTCAGCACTGTCTTGCTGTTTAGTGTCTCTGTAATGTCATGCTTTACAATCATGATGCAGGGTCACCTTCTTATGTCATGGAGAACATTGTTCCAGAATCAATGAGGAATGTTTTGCCTCATGAAACTGAAATCTCTATTTGTGAACAAAGATCACATGAAACCAGAAGAATTCACAAGTGGGATGTCTTGAACTGCATCATATATGGTGGTTTAATTGAATCAATTATAAGCCTTGGTGTTGTGTCATCTGCAGCAGGAAGTGATGCTACTACATGTAAGTGTCTTATAGACTCTCTTATAATGCATCAGAAATAACTCTCATTGACTTTATAATCATGAAATTAAGTTGACTTGTAATTTGTTATGTATTAATATGTGATATTTTTGGAAAATATTGAAGGATAAAGCCAGAAATGGGTACATACTTGGCAGAAGTCAAGAGAAGCCATGTGATATAGTTTGGATATTCAACTTTACTCATGAAATCCATATTCCAACTATATGGGGTTGACTACTTGATTTCTGATCTACCATTTAGCTGCATTCAATATGATATCCATTGTTAAATTCTAGGCCTGCAATATGTTTTTGTCAATGTGATATCCATTGCCAAAAAGTAAAAGAAAAAAATTACTGATTCCTTGATGTGATTTGGAAAGAAACTAAAGTAGTTTCTTTTTTTTTTTTCTACTCTCTCTCTCTCTCTCTTACAGTAAATAAAACAAGAGCTCCACCCTTGTTCTTTTTCCCTTTTACTTACTCCCTGTCTTAAATTTTATCATATAAAATTACAACCTTCTTTAGTTTCTAATTTGATATGAAATTGCTTTATTAAACACTTATTATATTAGTATCATTTTTTAAATTATTGAAATTAATATAATTGAAACACTACTGTCCTAGATATGTTGATTTGCCATGTTTTAAGAGGAAATTTAATGTTATTAATAAAGAAAATATCTATTTTTCGAATTAATATGCATGCTGAATTGTATATAAAACTAAAGAACTAGGAAAAGCTTAGTTTTTTTTTTTAATTTTATCAAATTATTATTGCTAGGCATTGCCTAGGCAGTAGGCACCCCATTGTTGCCTAGAAACCTAGGTGCTTTCACAACTATGGAAGAAACATTGAACCCAAGCTCATAAAGAGATCAATAGGCCACTAACATGCTCTGTTACCATCTTAGACAATAAAAATAATAGACGAATATGGTAAGATATTGTAAATAATAGAGTGAGGAGAAAATAGAAAGTGGTCAAATAGGGTTGGTCGCCTTAGTGGTTGGCCCACCCTAACTTATATATTTTATCATCTAAATGAATGAAAAATTGCAACTATACCCTCCTTAAGTAACAAAGTCAGAAATAAGCACACTAAATATTTCTACAATGTTCTTCCTGAATAAGGATCAACATCATCAATCTTAAACAGTTGAATGCCCAAAAAGATGCAGCAAATAGATTAATGATCAAACTTTAACTGAGCAAGACTGACATCATGGATGAAGCAGACACCGAAAGACTCTAAGAGGGAGATGGAACCAGTCTTTATCAGGACACAATAGCTGATGTGGGAGATTGCAAATAGAAAACTCAAAATGGCAACCTGTTAATAAGTTAGGTGGCAGTATGAACAACATAATCCCAAAATCTAGTAGGAACATGCATCTAAAACAAGAAACTTCTAGCCACCTCCACAATGTGTCAGTTCTTCCTTTCAACAAGCAACTCCTTTCTAGTGTGGAGTGTGTAGGCAGGATCTTTGATGAATCACTCCATGCTATTCAACCTGTAAGGATTTCTCAAAGTAGTCCCTTATATTATCTGATCTTATGGTTTTGATCTTGTCAAATTGTGTTGCAACCACATTAAAGAAAGTTCTCACAAATTTTGGGACTTCTTCCCTACTCTTCATCGGATATAACCAAGTGTATCTTGAGTAATCATCAACATAAAGAATGAAATACTTCTATCCACTTATACACGTAACAGAATACGGCCCCAACATTCCATAATGCCAAATGACAATAAATTTTACTCCTTTTATTACTTGGAAAAATACGTTATTTTACAATGCTTTGATAAGTGACAAGCTTCACACTGTAGACCAGGACTGAACATGGATTAAGACATACATGGAAACAAAAGTCTTAAAGAACTGAAAGGAATATGGCCAAGATGATGATGCTATAATTTTATTTGACTCAAATGGCTATCATCACTAACACAATAGGACTCAAACGGATATGCCACAACTTGCTTTAGTGCTTGATCTACAAAATAGACTCCATTAATGTCACTCCAATCATCTTTTCCATGCTCAAGTCCTGAAAAATGCACTGAGAAGGGGAAAAAAGTTACACAATAGTTATGAGTTTAAGTAATAGAACTGATAGATGTTAGGTTAGCATGAAACTGAGGTACATGGTGTACAAAACATATAGATAGGTCATTTACCTAGCTTGACTTAATCCACGCCATTTATGGGATTATGAGATTAATCAGCTATGTTAACCTTATTCTTCCCTGAACAAAGTCTATAGGACATGAAATGGGAGGATATACCAATCATATGGATGGCCGAACCCTACAGGAAGGTTGGGCGAAATTTCAAAAATTTCTCTCTCCCATGTGGGAATCACATTCCCTATTTTAGAAAACTTCATTTTCAAGGATCAATCTTGAAACAAACCAGACCAGATCTGAAACCAAAAAGGTAGGAGAGGGATATACCTGATACGGATTAACAGTAACTCCCAATGAAGGTGTTCACGCCCAAGGAGAAAACCAAAGACTGCTTCCACCGAAGATGACATGGTGTGAGGTGAAGCAGAATCAGCAGGACAGTTCTTCAGCAAGAACCGAATTCTTCAACAATAATATGATGGAAGGCTGGTGAGCACAACTTCAAATTGCCTCTTCTAGCAAAAGGCAATATCAAGAACCGTTCTTGATCACTCTTACTGGTGGAGATCGAACTGGATAGGGTGGCAAGAGCAGGAAAGAACAAGAGCAGAAGATAGGAGCAGTCGAACTGTATATTGTCTTCTCTCTCAATTCAGCAGACTATGCGATGTATTAGGAGGTCCGCCCTGCTCTCCTATTTATAGCCTTAAAGAGAGGCTCTCCTAATCCAATTAGGAGTTTCCTAATTCAAATCTTATATTTGGATTTGGACTCTCTTTAAAAGATAAGGATAATCCCTTATCTTATCTGCAGATAAAGATCAGCCTTCCTAATTAAATTAGGAGTTTCCTGATCCAAATCCCAGAACCGCCCCTTATTTAATTAATCTTATTAAGCCAGTTCGAATGGGCTTTAGGCCCATTAAGTCTATGTGCTCACTTAACCACTTAACCTACTGCCCAGTTGGCTATCCTTGTATGGCGTGGGACCCAAACATTGATCTACACATCAGCCACATGGATTCA